CTGGAATTACATGATGGTCTAGCTTCAACTGACTCATGATTTCAATTATTGAAATTTCTAAAATCTCCACAAAACCCCTTCTGATAAGTTCAACATTAGGTTAAGATTTTGTCTGAATTTAGATTACTGTATACAGTTAATAGCAGGCCCTACATATTTAGGTTTTGTGATAACTGGTGAACTGGTCAGCAAAATACAGCTTTTCTAACAAGATCTAACTAGGAAAGAACTTGGGTATGAAGATTTTTGTTAACCATTTTTCATTATTTAACACCAAACACAACATCATAGGATCATTTAAGACATAAATCAAATCTATATAGAATTGTAAGTGAGAATGTCAGTCTATAAATTCAAACGATAAAGTATGTTGTCGGTGTTTGTATTCCAGAAAGTAATTGAAGTTTAATAACTATCACTGAGGAAATAATAAGTAACTTTATAAAGGCTACATAAGCTTATCAGTTAGCTTGAAAAAAAAGATGACAAATATATATATATATATATCACTATCACCAAAATTAACTAAATTAACTCATTTATCAGGTAATTAGGTATGAGCCACACTCCAAGTGTGAGGGTTAATGATACTACCAAGTTGGCTAGAAAGGAGTAGGCGGAGCGGGGTTCGAAATTGGAACCTAAAAATCAGAAGTCGAATGCTTTAATCATTGAGCGACAGCTCAGAATGCAAACTGAGTCGTTGAAGAACTTTCCAAAAAATAGATATATCAATGGAAGTTTATCAGCAAGCTTAGTAGTTATATGTATCTAATTTGATTTTATTGTTAATCAATTGCCTCAAATATAGTTGTACAAAGTCGGCTTTGAGCTACATGCTTTGAGATAAGGATTAGGAATAGTGTCGTGCAATGCAAATCGAGTTACGTATATGTACTCGGAGTCAAGTCGTGAATCATACTATCTACGAACTATTAACCAAATGAAGATAAAATTAATTCTCAACAATTTCTTCGAGTAATTGATCAATAAGTACAGAAATAGATGAGTAGAGTAATATTATCTTAGGTCATGACTGAAATTCCGTCTAAAAATATAATCAATAGAACACAATTTATCTCAAATAAGTGATAGATTGTTAGTAATTGAAATTAGACATATGGATTATTGGTTGGTGGCTTCGTGATCTAAGGGCTAATACGCTTAGCATGAGACATGGAGGTTTTGGGCCCGATCCCGGTGGGGCAGCGAGTACCTGCCGCTGAGGAGTCCCAACACTAGGACGAAACAGTTACCGAGTGTTTCTTAGTCTTCACTGGTTGTCAAACTAAGGTCAGTTCATGATGCAAACTACAACACATATTCAATTACAACAATATTGAAATTTTAACATAACACTGGAAAATTTTTAAAGCTCAGAAAAGGTCTATTATTCCGGGTAAAATGACAAAAGAAATATGTTGAAAACAATAAATGAAAACGAACTAGGACTCTTTTAGGAAATTTTTAAACAGTAGAAATGCATTCAAATGTAATTCGAGCAGCATTATGGTTAAGTAATAATGAGACTATGAGAACTAATCTAATAATCGAGCCATTACGATATTTAGTTTCTTAAGTGTGTATTCAGAGCAACTGTATAAATTTTTTTGGTATTAATTTAATTTCTTTCCCCTAACTGGGTCAATTTTAACCCAATTATGTTGTTCAACTGTGTAATCGGTTATTTCTATTATTAGTATTATTACTTGTAATCTACCTTTCAATACTTAGTATAAATAAATTTTAAATGTACTAAGTATTAGTTCAAACCACCATTATTATTATATTGAGTTTTCTCTTGCATGGGAAATTTTCGGCTTGATTTGTCAGGAACGCCCCCAATTTTTATTGTGTTGTATCCAGCAGTTTCAGTAATTTCGTTCATTTAATGGGTAAGTACTGAAGGTTAAGATTGTAAATTTCAAGTCCCAACTTTCACTAAAGTTGTACTCTTTTGCATGCGGGAATCGAACTGTTGGATACAGGTTCAGTGGCCTAGAGGTTAGGCATTCGTGTGTATGGTAGTGGACGTGCACTACTGAGGAGTCCCACACTGGGACAAAACGGCCGTCCAGGGCATCCAGGTTTACGATAGTGGTATGACTTCGATGGTAATTATATCTATCTGAGAGGAACTGTTCGGTGGAATTATACTTTAACATATGGCACTCAGCAAGTGGACGGAAAAATGATTGGAAGCACGAGGTACGATGTAATTAGTGAACATCGAAAACCTTGTGTATAAACTTAGTCAAGTTTCCTATCCAGTTTCAAACATACATCTCAACTCTATTAAATAAATCACTAATGACCTTTTTTGAAACCTTATCACTCACTGTAACTTGAATTGTTTGTAGCTGATTGAAACCCAGAAAAGTAAAATGAATTCATTTCTCCACTTGCAAAAGTTATTGTTTTTGACCCAATAAAAATTATTAAAAGAAAGAACTTTATGAAGGCTTAACGACTATTTAGTTTTGCTATAAGCTTGCGGATTTGCAAAAGAAGCTATTGCTAAAAAAAACGACGAAATCCAACATCAGGTGGCTGGATAAAATCAAAAAATCCCTAGGTTTTCAGTAAACTGAGACTCGTCAACAAGGGGTATCTGAAATCTTCAGTAAACTGATGCGCCCGGTGAGACAATGAATCATAGTACTCAATGTCACAATTAGAGACAGACAGGCATACAGTAACTGGATAGGTAAAATTTAATTAGTGTTAAGTAAGCAAACATTACATAGATTACCATTCAGCGATTTATATATGTAAATAAGATGGGATAGTAGATTGAAGGAAAGGTAGGTGATAAAGTAGATCTATCGCAAAGGTGAAGACGTACTCGTTCTTTAGTTTCCTCCAAAGCCTGAGTTTTATACTCTAATTGCTTGTTCCACTTTTTCAACTGTATACTATGTACCATTATTAGTAAGGGTTTAAATAATCCTATATTGCCATTCAGGACTGAATTTTGATCAGTCTTTTCTGGTATATATGCTTTCTGGGAGTATTGCCTCGATACATTTAAAGTGAAAATAATTAAATTCTTATCTCAACGGGAATATCAAGACGGAGATACAGGAACATTCAACTGACTATTGGCAAATAAAAGGAAACGCGCATCCTGATTTCCACTATTAGCAACAATCCATATATCCTATGAAATAATCAATCTGTACGTTTAGTCTTTCTTACTAACATTGGAACTACTATTATGTCGATATCTTCGCTATCCATATTGTTAGTCTCATCCCTTTACGCTGTGATGCGTGAAATAGAGCCGATAGGTATTTTCCCCAGGTTTTACCTTGATTATGTCTGAGTTCTTAGAAGCATAATGATCTGTTGGGGAAACTCAAAATTTAGTGGTTTTTATATTTCCAAAGTCAACACTGTGGCTCTAAGGTACCTATCAAATAGTAAAAATATGAACGATCATTTTGCTGGAATTCAACTCATTGGTAACAAAACCTAAAAATGTTTCTCAAACATTTTTGTTACTTAAGTGCGAATTATTCATCTAAGTAGGCAGGTTGAGAAATGTTATTTATCTTATCTTCGCCTAGAATGTGGACATTATTCAGACAAGAATCGTTGCATTAACAAAAGAGTAATAATATTTTATAGTTTAAGTGTATACCATAACCTTCAGTTCACATTTGTCTTTCCTTGGATCATGAGTTTGTAAATCCCTCACAAATTTCTCTTGTTATTTTACTGATTTAAATTTTCTTTTAAAACTGTATTTTCGGTGCCTAATTCATTATGTTACTACTAATACGGTTATTATCTCTACTACTCTGGGATCTTCTCTGACAATTTTATCTCGCTGTGCTGATGGAGTATGGGAACTTAAAAAAATGTATACATGTTTCAGGTTCTACGTTGCTTTTGACTAACTGAGAGTTTGTTCTGTAGGAGTACATCTATGAATCAACATCTTCGTTCAAACAATTTTCTAAGCATTCCATTTCATCTTCCGTGTTAATATCAACGTATTCCACAGTTTAACTGAATATGGATACCATATCTTATTATTCGAATGGTACACATAATGACCATTAAGTTATATAATGCATTTGGACATTAATTTTTTGGAAATAATTGTAAGATAAATCCATAATTATCTGTCACGAATTTGGATAGACACCATGCAGTAATGCAACTACATGTTATTGGACAGCTTTTCAGATAATTATATATATATATATATATATATATATATATATATATATATATATATATATTTAAATCAGTGATTCGTTCTTTAGGAGTATGATCGAGTTGTACATGTATGCTCTACCAATGAACGAATCAAGTTAAATAGGACAGAACCAAATAACCAATAGTTTCGTAATAAATAGATGGTGTAACAAATCAGAGCCCCCAAATGCCCTGGTACGGCCGAGAGTGGGGAGAGTCCGCTCTCCCTCTCCAAATGCTCTCACATGGCCACGCGTATATAGCCTCTGCCAGAGAAGTCCTACTCACTGCCTTCTCGTACCACGGGTGTTGTTTACGAAAATGAGAGGACGAAAAGCGAATGTCCGGCGCTTTAACCGGATCCCAAATCAATGGTGCACATGGGCTGGCTCCAGTATCCTGAAGGAACAAATGGCGTATGAACCAATCGTTGGTCACCGGCTACCATGGGACTGCATCTCCTTACGATGCTCCACTGCCTTGTGGGTCAGACGTTCAGGTCGAAGGCTCGGGGTGTGGCCCCCTAATAAAACCACCTGCTTCGGTTTGGGCACCCGGGCAGTATCACAGCCCTCACACATATCAATTGAGATTTGTGTGGCGCATATGTATTTGGTCCGTCTTTGTACCAATACTTATGTGTTAAAATAAATAAATAAATAAATAAGTAACAAATCAGATTGAAATGTGGTATATCAATAAATTTAATCTAACGGACCCAAAAAAAATCATGAAAAATATCAACATGCCAATTAAAAACTGACTATTAAAGCAAAATGCAGAAAGAACAAGTTTTAAGAAATAATGTTTCTTTTATTTAATTCTTCTGATATTACTACTATATACAATATACATAAAGTTATCTTAAGATGATGATAACTAATGAGGTTGTGGAATATGTCCATCAACATAGAAATTTCGTGTAGCCTTTGGCAAAGTGATTGTCATTCCATTTAGTTCTTTGGTCAGCATTATTTGGCAGGCTAAATGAAATAGATAATAAAACTCTTTATTCAAACGCAATATGAAAGAGATGCACACAAAGATATACTGATTCTACAAGATCAATTTAAATATACGCATGTAAATTCAAATAACTGTATGATTAAAATGTTAGACAGTAAAGAGGCTTGGAAACGGAGCATAATTAGCAGAACTATGTGTAACGATCTAAAATTATTGGATGAATGTCGATCGAAACGAAATTAAACTAGATATGTCCTTGAGATCAATAAGTTTAGTCATATGTAAACTCAGCCTTTGGTCACCAATTAGAAACTAGAGCTAACCTGTAAACATTTGATTAGGTTGATACATAAATAAACCTATTTGTATGATTCTACACACACAATAATTAAAGAGTAACTCCCAATAAGATGTTTATTATCTGTTTACAATCGGTTATAACATAATCATAAAATACCTAGAAAAAATTAGTAATACTTGGAGGGATAGGGAGCCATGTGAAAATAAGACCTACGTTTTTGATGAGGCAGTAGGTTGGAAAACTAGGAGTGGTCTGAACCATGTTGGTAAATAAAGATTACTTGGTTGAAGTCTGAGTGATTTGGCTCAGAACCGCTCATCGTGGGGCCGATGTACCCACCATTTATCTTTTTCTCGATTAGGAATTACAGTGTTCCTTCATACAAACCTTTTAATTCTGTCTTTCCGAATTATACACACATTATTAAGTCCTCACTATTAATGACATTACAGTATTTTATTATCTTTTACCATTCATGGTGTTGTTTTAATCTAGTTGTGCTAATGTAATATGGTAACTAGGGCCGGCGCACATGTCTCAGACTTTAATTTGATAATGACTGACTTACTGAAAATATCGCACCTAAATTTCGAGAAAAAAAAGCCAGTTACACAACATGACTTTTATACAGGAAAATAAAGTCATTAACCCAATATTTTAATGGTATTTTCCTTTAATTCGATTATCTAAACTTGGATAAATTTTATTATATTAGTACAGTACACAACACTTTCTTATATTCCTAAAATTTTTAATGTCATTTAATAAACAAGACCAGGTTTATATACTGGGGCTTAAGATACATTTTTTTTAAAGCTGGTGACACAAGGCTACTCAAAGGATAGTGGAGCGATGTTTGGATTTGCAGTCCAGTAGTTAAGAGTTAATATCTCTAGAAATTAACTATACTATTACTATACCTACTATTACCAGTTTTAGAACTTTCTTTCCAACAACCAAGCAAGTTTTGACACTTTCGGTTGATTTTAATTACATTATGTACACTCAAATTTGTTTGTACTTTGAAGATAGTTGTTGGGTGAATCCAGTTTACTTAATTCTGCTAATTAGACTTCGCTTGTCTTCACAAAATACATATTGAGTTACGTGTACACAAAAACACAGAACCAATGAAGTAACCCAACATTCAGTAATGTTGTCTTTACCATATTACCGCGTGGTTAGTAATTATTTACATGTATTTATATACAACTAGATAACTGCAAGTGTCAAAATATTGTTAAACTTGTAATCTTGCAAAAAAGCTCTATATACACAACAAGTATGAAAATTCCCTAAATAGTTAAATTTTAGGCCGTAGGTTTCAAAAATTGTCATGGCTTAACTGTATTATTAGGTGGTCATAACAGTGGTCAGACAGGGATTTTTATTCGTGCAGACAATGTAGTCAGAAAAGCACATGTGAAACAACCCGGATCACTAATGGAAAAAAGGATATTTACGTGTAACTTACATAACCTAGAGTTTTCCTGTAGGAAAACAGCCAGATCTAACATATCTTCCTCCCCCTCAGAAGCAGGTGGGAGCAGATCATAAAATTTTTGATCGATATAGACATGGCAAGTAGAACATGCCAAAGAACCCTCACAAGCTCCCTCTACTTCAATATTATGCCGGCGGGCTAGTATCATTAAATTATCTCCAACTTCTCCTTCAACACGTCTGACGTTACCACTTCGATCAACAAATTGAACGTTTACTCTAAAATTAAACATTAAAATACATAATTAAAAGTTACGTTTTGGAAGTAGGGATGGAGTTTTCACTAAACTTTCTTATTGAGTCTATTAAACCTATAAAATGAAAAGCTTCTTACGGTTCAGAAATAAAGATTTGAGATAACGTCCGAATGAATTCAAATGATAGGAGAACTGTACATTACGCAAAACATGGAACATTTTAATCACACTGACAGAAACTGGATGAATGATGCAGCCAACTTTCTGCAAAATCTTTTCCAATGATAGCGAAAATTGTGCTGAGCTGTTGAGGCTGAAATTATTAGAAAAATGAAATAAAAGGTTATGACACGTCCATATTTATCAAATTAAACTTAAGAAAACAGTGTCACAATGAGAATAGGCTAAAGCTTAAAAAACCATAAAATTGATAACATCGTAACTAGTTCACTTAAGTCAACTAGGATTGTTGTCATTATTGTGAAAGGTACAAAAGACAACTAACCTGGTGTTTATAAGGCGCTTCCCAGTTTTGTGTTAAATAAAATATAAAATTTCTTGTAGAAATTAATTATAAATAAGTAACCTTACAAAAATGTGCCTTTTGTAAAACACCGATGGTAGGAAATTCAACAGACTAGGTCTACATGGATAGTTTTTTAGCGCAAATAAAGCCCATTTATATGATGTCCTCGTATCATAGTTGGGATTAGTTCATCACAGGAACACTAACTTCAGATTTTAACACCCCACCCTATTCGGACATTAGAAGCAGAAAAATCAGTTCATTTAAAAATGAATGAGTAGTCCTAATTTGCTAATTATACACTTAAAAGCTGATTATGTTGCGGAACTCAATTGTAACTTAACTGCACATAACATACTCTTCAAAATCCGTGACAAAGTAACGCAGAAATTTAGGCTACCAGCATTTTTGTCCGATGTCCAATATCTCTATCGCGAGCATGTGTAAACTGATTGATTTCATTGAGCTTTCTTCTTCTGGTTTAATTATGGCTCCAGATATTTGTTAATATCCAATGAATGCCATAATAGCTACTCGGCTGCATCAATTCCATTCATTCGCAAATCTTGTAGTTGATTAAGCGCGTTTTTCTCAGGGCAATATGTTTTCTGAATACCAGCAGCTTCCGCGTTACCTGGTAGAAGATAAGCCGATTGAAACGTAAAAATAATAATGTGGTAATTCATGGGCTAAGAGAAGACCATTGTTCTATGAATAGATAAAACTTATAAATTGATGGTCCTGTGGCGGTAAATAAATCTCCAAAATAAATAGCTTTGTAAGTCTAAGACATTGGATGCCGATCACATTAATTTTAATGAACTCACTTAGCTAAAGGCGCTTTGTCATGCGTCCGTACCAGATCACGAGTGGGAACGCTGTGTTCAATATCGATTGCAATCGTTAGCCAGTCTAGATCAGTCGGTCCTCGATATATTGGTATCCTATCAAACACGTCTTCAAACCTCTTCGCTTCCGTCTTTTGATTTTGTTTGGTGGGTACGATTCATAGTAGGTGTTACTGGTTAAAGCGTTTTAAAACTCCAAATACCTGTGGCATTTTCAATCCAGCTGCAGCTTTATTTGGAAGGTACAAGAGGTTGGATATCCTATGCTACACATAGTAATAGTGATCTTTCAGATGGTCTAATTTTCTTTTGAATGCACTGATGGATGTAGCTTCAATCACGTGTTTAGGTGATGAATTCCAATGGTTGGGAAAATCGATAGTCAGTTGTCTAGTTTAAATTAGATACCCAATGTCGCCCAGTCGAACTTAAAATAAAGTTGTTCAGGGAATGAGGGCCCTAAATTTAGCCACAAAATTATATGTGCATTATAACCGGAAAAAATTCAATTGCTCAGTTATTCAACCAATAATTGTTCAGCCAGTAATCCAATTGACATAACACTAAATAGATAAAGTGATAGAAGATATATGATGATTACCAAATCCAACAAAAAAATGATCCTACCAACACAGAAATGTTTCTCTATACTTTCTAGAAAGACCATGTACACATTGTTCGAAATATAACATTCAATTTCGTGTTTTCGATTCTGGAAGATTGCTTTAATTCGTAACTCCAGTCAATTCAAGCAGCATACTGGAAGAGAGCAGCGAATCAATGTGGCAGCCGCCACAGGTGTTAGGAGTTTGACAACGCTTCAACCAGTAACATCTTCCAATATAAATCGTTCCCACCAATTGATCCATTTACCGCTATAGTCGACTAGAATAACATAGAAATAGTCCAAAAGAAACATGTAAATGCAGTGAGGATAAAGGGGAAACTAGAACAGCAGTATATTACAAATAATAACTTCTCAAGCGGAACCGAGAGATCTACGAAATTTTTATCTGAAGAAACCAAAAAGAATAAAACACAACATTTTCTACGTGCAGGGACTTCCATGCACAAGACTTCTAAAAAAGATCTTACAGTGTTGGGGTTGATGATGAATTAAAGGATGTTGGAGGTTGGTGATCGACTAACAAAGTGAATCCTTGGCCTTCTACTGCGTTCCGAAGCTGCTATACTGCGAAATACATGGCTAGTAGTTACCTGCCATATATCCTATAGCTTAATTTACCGTCTTGCAGATATCTCGTCCAAGATACCAAAGGCTAATCAGCATTTTTTGCCAGTTGTTGTAAGACTCTATAAATTGACAAGACAGATTAGTTTATGGTGGTGCTGATGAGTGTTTTGATGTACTTGTATGGAAGTAGAGTTGAATTTGCAATAATTCCCTGAACTGTATATAGTGCTTTTTGTTTTGTCGTCTAAATTGATGGTTTTCACATCTCCAGGAATTTGATCTGTTAAATGTCACATGAGAGATGCGCGATTCAGCATAAACGATCGATCAAAGCTTACCAGAGAGTTGAACTTGCATAATTGCTTGACTGTGATCGGTTCTGGCTAATCCAGAATGACTGTCACATTGTCTTACAGAACGCGTATGTTTTCATCCATAAATGTATGTTTGAGAAAGTTTGAGGAGTTCGTTCTGATTTGACATTTGTGATTGATTACTGGAATGCCGTGTTTTTGCAGTCATTTGAAAACAAGATCCAGATGTAAGGCATGGGATTCTTGATCCTGACTTACGAGTGAACAGTCACTAATGTAAACGTGCATTAGATTCTAACCTATGAATACGTAAATCATTGGTAAATCTCCGAAAAGTCTGCGCGGTATTTCTTAATTCAAAAGGTAAGCGCTAGGAAGTTTTTATGGTCCGGATGGAGTGACGATAGCTGTTTTGAGATTGCCGTCTTCAGCCGTAGGAATTTGATTAAACTCTTTAATCAGACCGATTCTCAATAGAACACTTGTACCTTTCAAGGTATTTGTCAGGTCGTAGGAGTAGCACGATGTTATGATCGGGTCTGGTCTTGTGTTTAGTCTTCGATACTCATGACTTGGACGCCAATCCTTTCTATCCATTAAAGAGGCCATGAACCAAGGTGTTACCCATGAGTGTTCTAATGGCCGGGAAATTACGGAGATCCTCAATGTCATTCTGCATAGTTTGAGGCTTTTTATTGACAGTACAAATGTCAATGCTGAAGGGCATAGTGATTTCCAGAATCCGGTCGGCAAATTCAGACGATTCGACTATGGGGTCGCTTGGGAAGGAGACGACAAACGCTTGCGCAAGTCGAGAAAGCCTATATAAGTTATGTATAGAGAGACATTCGTTCAAATGTCGTTGACCGAAGACTTCCACAAGCAGTTCCCTGACTAATGTGAGTAACTGAGCACGCAGGTCTGTCACACCCAGCTCGCAGAAAATGGCCTCTATATAGCAGAAACGGGTTTTGATATTATCTCATCGGAATGACAGATGAGAAGTGGGAGGCGTATGTTTTGATCTTCAAAATGTCCTAGAACGCAAAAATAATATCGCAGTATGTAAAAATTAAAAGTAAGGCATATCGTTACAAAAAGAAACAAGCCCATAATTTATGGTTCGGTTCGCCAAATCACGTCTTGTTAACGACTAAATGCATCACCTATGTCCAGAGTGTGACCGCTTTTGTTCGTAAAAACCCTATATTTCAAAGACACCACCTTATTTATATCAAGAGTAAAGGATGAACGAACTCGGTGATACATTTGAAAAGCTCTTGATGTATTGAGAAGCGTCTTTTTAAAACTGAGTAGCGGTTGCAGGGGGTAGGTAGCACGACGTAACAATTCGTGATCTGTCAAAGAATCACATAATTACTTCATTTGGGTAATAGTTCATCACTACAAAATTTTTTGGTACCCTACCCAACGTTATAAACAGAATGAATACTTTGAGAGATCTAATACTGTAACCTTCCAGTAAAGTAGTCGATTGACTACTGAATCAAATACTCATGAAGTCATGCTTATTTATGTATTAAGGAAAAATCCAATTATCAACTCTTTCGAATGCTTTGAAGAAATCTGTGGATTAATATCAACAGGAGACAATGGTTCACAAATCGTCCTGATACTCCGGAGGGTCCACAAGCTTATATGGCACAATATACATGAATATAAACCATTTCATCATTTAGAAGGCACGAATTTTTTGAAAATTTATTTTAGAAGTGATTAACTGGAAAATTATTTAATGAGTAACACAAATGCTGAGTGCATTCAGCCAATTATTAGTGCTTTTTGTGGGATCAGTGTATGAATCTGTGTCACTTCATAACTAGGAAGCTCAATAATTTTCACAGAAAATTATCACAATGCACATTCTGAAAGCTGTTTTGTAAACAAGTGATTGAGAATTGAAGTAAATAACCCGTTGGCTCTTACCCTGGAGCCACTTTTGAAATGCATAGCAAGTGGTATGGAGTACTTAGTTATTTCCAGAAGGTTGGTTATTTTGTGCATTGCTCTTGCATTCTAGTTATTTCATCACCACTTGTTGTGTTTTCAAAAGACTTATATCAAAAACAAAGTTCAGGCTTTTATGTAACCACGACAAACTAGGGTCTAACTAGGATAAATCGCTTGTAGCTGTGAATAAATGACTTTGGGATCCTCGATCATAATTATGTTAAGAGCAACAGCGTTATCAAACGCTGATTATCCTCGACCTCCTTGCTTCTAGTGAAAGCGTCACTGCAATCTATTTTTCCAGTTAATTGGTGGAAATTTTGGATGAAAAATTTATTTTTAGACATTAGGCATAAGTGCTCTTCACACAACTATTAGTGTGCGACTTCTCAAAAATCTTGATCTGCGGTTTTCTCAGGGCGATATCAGCGAGAGAAGGGACGGCAACGTCTAATCCTGTCCGGTAGTGTATCAAATTTATACATACTGATGAAGGTAAAAATATCGCGACTGGTTTACGGAAACGTACATGATTCTGATGAATATGTGGAAGTGTAACAGATAAATACATGTAAGACTTCACAAAAGGTTTCAGACTGCTTTTTTCTGTGTCGATACCGCTGATTGTATTTGCGGATGCAATTTTCGGAAATTCTGTATCTCAGCAGTGCTTAAGCTGCTTATCAGTAACTTCATAAACGAAAACTATGTGGTAGAACTATTTTTCGGACGACCTTTGAATGAGTCTCAAGTGACTTTGAGAAACAACCAATCAGGAATCTACCGGAGCAAAAATATGTTATGCAAAACCAAAGAATTAGAGTGGATAAAGTTGTACATGGTTTAAAAATTTTCAACGTTAAAAAGAGGTTCAGAGGCTCTGAAATCATAATGCATACGATAGAATTCCGCATCCACATAGCTCCATACTGGTCGACCTGTGGAAGCATGATGAGGTCGCAAGAGCTCTTACAACATCCACCATATAGCTTCCATATTGTTTGTATGCACTCCGGTTTCTGGGTCCACAAAATGCCGCTTGTGGACAAAGATACAATTAACATAATCAAGTCTACGTAGGCATCGGTGCGCTCCCCAATCATCCGTATATATTGTAGTACCTGGCTGCACATATTCCTGTATAATTGGTATTGTCGTTGTAGGCTGTCGGTTTCTAACCCGTTGGGAGTGTCTATTTTGAGATGACCTGTCGTATGTTCCAAGGACTTGCGGGGTATATTTATGGTAGTGCTACTTACTCAGTCTTCTTTAACACTTCACCCCTGTTGAATTTTTGTTTTCTCACATGTTCCGTCTATTTTAACGATTCTCCCGACTCCCTTAAAAGACTCGTATGCTTGTCATTTTTGCTGCGCATATATCTCTGCAATACTCACCACCGACCAACCGAAGTTTCAGTAACATCTGCAAATTTTGCAGCCAGTGTTACTGGTGCTTTTATTATTCAGTTCGCAACAATGATCATAATTTGCCTTAGTCTCAATCTGGATCGAGCAATAAAAGTTCCTCTTCTAGCAGAGATCTTTCTCCAAAACATCACGATAGTTTGCACAAGTCATTTGATTACCACGATCACAAATAAAGGAACTTCCCAGCAGTCTCATTTGTTGTAGCCACTCCATTGTGTCTTCACTAAAATTCGCTGTGATCCGTTCGTACGTAAGCAACAGGTACTAAAGTCGTCGCCGAGAAGTTAAAATCCCTCAAACGCTTCTGATTGGCTCGTCCATAAATTATAGTCTTGCCGATCTATTAGTCTTGGATTGTGTGGCCTAAATGTGAGTTCACAAACTTGTACCTGACCTTTCAGTCAGCTACAACGTAGGACTGGGCACATATACGCACCAATCCAAGTTGCTATACCTCATTAGCACGGCAAGATGAACACCGGATTCATAAAAGTAGTTAATTCACTGGTGGTTATATATAAAAGAAAGATTGCATATAAAGATACAGTACAGGAAGAAAGAATTAGTACATAGAAAGAAAGATATGAAGTAATTTTAATCTCATAGTTTAAGGGAGGACAGAGAGTGTATACACCTACGCCATTGTGATCGATTCTGAGCCATGTCATCATTGGTTACGAAAGTCACGCAATCTCCATCCAAGTGATATTCTTCATACATCGATTTTCAACTCTAAACTTCCTCTTTTGGTTTCCTCCTCAAGTGTCACCTGATCCTTAAGTATATAGAGTAAAATAAAGCCAAACCTTCAAAAATCTGACTGTAAACAACATACACATGTACTTGAACATCAATTTTCATTATATTACCTATTCGGTTTGGGCACCCGGGCATTATCACAGCCCTCACACATATCAAATGAGATCTGTGTGGCGCATATGTATTTGGTGCCTTCTTGTACCGATATCTATGTGTTAAAATAAAATAATAAAAATAACCTATTCCCATGTTAACCCGGATGGTAGGCAGAACACCAAGGATGTACAATGAATATAAATGACAGTTTAAGGAGTAAGTCTCATCCTGTAATGATTTCCTATTGTTGATTTTACATGAGTGTCATTTGCTTCATGTTAATAACTATTAATTGTCACGTTACTACCTCCATACTGCCAAATTGATGAGGCTGAAAAGTTTAGGCTCAAGATCAGCTGTCTCCTTAATATACGGATTTCAGATGCATGGATGCGGTTTAAAGTTTACATGTTATACGTGAACATTAAGATAAATCAAATGAAGTACAATCTCTTTTGCTAATGCTTTTATTGAAATATATCTCTTAAAATTTAATTCATTACTATGGTGTTGGATTGTATTCACAATTATAACTCACCCAAGCAGTTGGTTCAATTTGCACAGTCAGCACTGTTAAAAGAAATTAATGTTCTTGTATGCTTGTATGTATAAAAGTTTTACACATAATCCTTTGAATAAATAAAGAACTGATCAATGGAATCGGAATAACTCAATTGTTTATATAGTATAAAATGGGGTTAAGACATGTATTTATTTGTTTGAACACAAATATTGGCACAAGGGGAAACGATTACATATGCGCCACACAAGTTACTTCATTTGTGTGTGGGCTGTGATAATGCCCGAACCGGAGCAGGTGGTTTTCTTAGAAGGTCGCACCCGAAGCCTAAAGGTCTGATCCACAAGGCAGTGGAGCAGCGTCAGGAGATGCAGTCCCATGGTAGCCGGTGACCAACGATTAGTTCATATGCCATTTATTCGTTCATGATACTAGAGCCCATGTACACCACTGGTTTGTAATCAGAGTTTTCCAACTCTCTTAGGTGGATCCTCCGTATTCACTAACCCGATTCGAATTCTGGACATTCGCTTTTCGTTCTCTCGATTTCGTAAACGACACCCCTGGTGAGAGAAGGCAGTGAGTAGGAATTCCCTGGCAGTGGGTACATGCACGTTACTATATGAGATCATTTTGAGAGGGAGAGCTGACACCCCACCCTCTGCCATACCAGGGCATTTTGGGGCTAGGACATGTATATGCTCATCCATTCGCCTTGTAAATTCACCACAGTTGCTATCTGTTTCATTTTTGTTATATTTTCGCTCTTACGGTTATAACCCAGCTATTCCTATCGCTTAGTATTCACGGTCACAGATTCACACGACAAGGCCCCAAATCAGAACACGATTGAGCAGGAAGGAGATTATATTCCAAATAACAAGGTTAGGTGAAGCAAGAAGCAAGAAGCGAAATAGGAAAACCGTTAGTATATTTATAGCTTTTTACATAAGAAGAATCTAGAAGCTTCTCCATGTATAGACTAGCGCTGATTGGATAAAAATCAGCCAATCAGCGTGCGCCAAAGCAATCGTGCATTGAGCATGCTTAAATCCAATCTATGTCCCACTAACACCTCCCCTTTGAGCAGATTCGTAGGATCTGGTGCTAGGGTCCAACTGCAACCGAGTGACTGGCCTGTGCTTTCGATTTGTCCATCGTCTAGGCAATAAAGAAGTATCACTCTTTGCTTGCACAGAAACTGACCTGTCTGTTCCAGGCGTTTTGATTTCAAAGGTGTCTAGCAGAACATCAAGAGGTAATCGATATTGAATCTCGTTGCTGGCTATCGAAGTTGCTTTCAATTGGTTAGCATGACGTACCCAAACTTCTGAGCCAACTGACACCTCATAAACCACACTCCCCTTCTTTTTCAAGATCCGACCAGCTGTCCATGTAGGATGTTTCTCACGGTAGTCCATAGCAAGTACTTTTTGTCCCACCGTGAACAATCGTTTTTGTGCCCCATGATGTCGATTGAACTGATTCTCCATAGATAGGTTTCGTTGAGGCTCAAGAGCTGGCGTAGGACGGATGACATCGAAATGTGTTCGTATTTTTCTGCCAAGTAGAGCTTCTGCTGGAGAGACCCCCTTAATCGTCTGAGGGTTCGGTGTCGAGCGATAAATAAGCAGGAACCTCTCTAAGATCTCTTCGGTGGTCCCCTCCCCTTTAGATTTTTTTAGAGCATTTTTAAATGTACTCACAAAGCGTTCCACTTGACCATTTGATTGGGGATGGAATGGAGGTGTTCGGACGTGATGGATTCCGTTCTGCCGACAAAATTGTGAGAAAATTACGGACGTAAACTGTGTTCCGTTGTCACTAACTATCAATTCCGGGACTCCGAAACGACTGAATAGTTGACGTAGCTTACTGACTGTGCAGCTTGCAGTCGGGTGTTCCATGAGAAAGATTTCTGGCCACTTGCTATATGCATCAACTACCAAAAGGTAAGCTTGTCCATGAAGTGGACCAGCAAAGTCCAAGTGTATACGCTGCCACGGTGACTGTGGTATTGGCCATGATTGCAGCTCTGCTTTTCGCGGTGCTTTCGTTGCTAATGCACATTTGGTACATGAACGGGATAGCTGCTCCAGTTGAGTGTCTAAATGCGGCCAGTATACATAACTTCGTGCTAATGCTTTCATGCGATTTATTCCAGGATGTCCTGCGTGCAACTGTTCAAGCACTGCTGGTTGTAGCTTCTTTGGGATTATGACACGTTCTGCAAACAGCAGGCAGTCGTCGATGATTGAGAGAGAGAGTCTACGCTGGTAAAACTGTTGAAGCTCTGTGGAACTGATCTTCGTGGGCCATCCTTCCAGGTGGAACTTTCTAACTTCTTGTAGAATCGGGTCTCGAAGAGTTTCTTCTCTGACTTCATCTGACGACACTGGAGTGTTTCGAATGGCATCTGCCACTATACTTCGTATTTCTGGGTCTACTGCTATGGAGGCAATGATTATATCCTCTGGTCCAGGATGCTGAACTCCAATTAATCGAGAGAGAGCGTCGGCTTGACCGATAGTATTTGTCGACTGATACTTGATATTGAAATCATAACTCAGGAGCATTGTTGCCCAGCGCTGTAGTCTATTAGCCGTATAGACAGGGATTCCTTTCTTAGAACCAAAGATTGCAATCAAAGGTTTGTGATCTGTCAGTAGAGTAAATGTACGACCATAGAGCATTTTATGAAATCTTTTGACAGCGAAAATGATCGCAAGAGCTTCCTTTTCAATTTGACTGTAGTTCCGCTCGGCTGGGGTAAGTGATCTAGCAGCATGGGCAATTGTCTTTTCTGATTTGTCCGGAAACACGTGAGATATCACTGCTCCAACTCCATGACTAGATGCATCAGATGCAACAACAATTTCCAAGCTGGGATCGAAGTGTGTCAAAAGAATCTTTGAGCTGAGCATTGATTTGACTCTGTCGAAAGATGCTTGACATTCTGCTGACCACTGCCAAGGTTTATCTTTTGATAGTAATTCATTCAGCGGACCTCTCACTCTATGCATTTCAGGCAAGAATGTGCTATAGTGACTGATTAACCCCAAGAAGGATCTTAATGAAGAGACATCAGTTGGTGCAGGCATCTTCTGAATGGCTTCGATGTTGGCAGGGTCTGGTCGGCGACCGTTCTTATCTAAGATAAAACCAAGGTATTTGATGGAATGCATAAAGAAAGTACACTTTTCCTCACGTAGTTGGAAACCATATTCCAACACTCGGTTAAGGACTTGATGTAGTCGATCAGAAAGTTCATTGTCAGTTGAACCCATAACTATGATATCATCTAGATAAGCTGCTGTACCAGGTATACCTGTTAGCATCGTATCCATTATTTGCTGAAAGATGGCAGGTGCAGTCTTGATGCCAAATGGTAGACGGGTGTATTGAAATAACCCTCGATGAGTGTTAATGGTCAAAAGCTCTCTACTGTCTTCATCTACTTCTACTTGTAGATAGGCATCGGAAAAGTCTATTTTCGCGAAACATGTCCCACCATTAAGTTTGGCAAACAGGTCTTCAGGAACTGGTAACGGATATTGATACACATCTAATGCAGCATTTAAACCGGTCGAGAAATCCGCACATATGCGTATAGTTCCATTCGCCTTCTTAATCACTACGATCGGTGCGGCCCATGCAGAATAGTTGACTGGTTGAATTACACCAGCCTGTTGCAAGCGATTAAGTTCCTGATCGACTAACTCAAGAGCAGCATATGGTACAGGACGTCTAGGACGAAAAATAGGTTTGGCATCTGGTTTCAGTGGTAAATGAGCTTTCATCTTGGTACAGTGGCCAAGGCTATTCTGAAAAACAGAGGCAAACTTTCTTTTCAGTTTTTCTAGTAACCTTTCACCTGTCTTCTTTGCAAGTACTGGGGTGTCTAATGATGAACATAATACGTTGCAGACACTGTTAATCGGTACATCCATTATTCCAAGTTTATCTAACATATCTAGACCAAGAAGATCAAGGTTTGGCCGTTCTGTTAGGTAACATATTCCTGTACAGTTAGTTCCATTGAAGGAAAATTCACACTGTAATTCACCAACCAGTTTTAGCACACCACCTGATGCGTTTTTGGCCGTTTTCTTAGATGGCTTTATTGGCGGTTTACCCAGCAAGTTATACGTTTCTCTAGATACTAAGGTGATATCTGATGCCGTGTCAATTTGAAGACGAGCTGATATGCCGTTTATCTGGATGGTAACATACTTTCTCCGAATGTCATAGTTTGTTTGAAAGGCAGCTACCAGAGAAAGAGATTTAAACTCGGCTGATTTCACATGTCGAGAACGTTTATGCTTCTTTTTGGGATGAGACGTACGATTCGGTGGACAATGACCTTCTTTATGTCCACGTTTGCTGCACACCTGACATATATGCTTTTTAAATGGACAGAATCGTACATAATGCCAATCACCACATAACCAGCATGCAGTCGTTGGTTTATTACGAGTTGTTATCGGCTTCTTAACTTTTAACCTAGTAATAGCATTGACACTACTGCAGGTTAAATTAGGATTTACCTGTTCAATCAACTTGTTGTCGTGTCTGATGCTTTGTAGCCGCTTACACTCATCTGTTAACGTTCTGAGTGTGACGTTTGGGTCTTGATCTAGTCGAGCCAAAAGTCTAGTCCTGATCTCAGCATCTTGTGGTGACTGAAGAGCTTTGATGAATATTAGGCATTTAAATTGGTCTTCTGTCAACGAGCGTAACTTGAACCGTTCACATTCTCTGTTGACGATGTCTGCTAAAACACCATATTCATCGGCTTCGCGTTTCACCAAATTTAGACACTGATGTCGAATACTAAACAATGAGGAGGATTCACCGAATATCTCTGACAATTGAATTATCGTCTCCTCGAAACTGAGCTCTCGAGGTAACTTAGGCAATATATGGTCAGCATAGCGTGCATGCTCATTAATTCCTAACTTACGTACCAACAGTCGAGTCTTCCACGCGTCGTCTTGGTTACAGAATTCTATTCTAAATGTATCTTCCCAACGTTTGAACCACGTGAGAAAAGTATTTCCGCTTTCGGGATCATAGATGAATTCTGGTATGCTGCTAGCAACTGCATCACAAGACGTACTTGAAATGGCATGTGAACTCGAGCAGTGGAAGCTAAGCTGTTGAGTCAGAGTCTCTAACAACCGCATTTGTGCATCTAATTGTTGTTGCTGTTGTTGTAGTATTCGGTTAAGCTGGTCGTCTGATATGGACATATTGAATTTATTTTCCTTATCCCATCCCCGTCGCCACTGTTATATTTTCGCTCTTACGGTTATAACCCAGCTATTCCTATCGCTTAGTATTCACGGTCACAGATTCACACGACAAGGCCCCAAATCAGAACACGATTGAGCAGGAAGGAGATTATATTCCAAATAACAAGGTTAGGTGAAGCAAGAAGCAAGAAGCGAAATAGGAAAACCGTTAGTATATTTATAGCTTTTTACATAAGAAGAATCTAGAAGCTTCTCCATGTATAGACTAGCGCTGATTGGATAAAAATCAGCCAATCAGCGTGCGCCAAAGCAATCGTGCATTGAGCATGCTTAAATCCAATCTATGTCCCACTAACAATTTTTATGCGTTAGTTTCCAGACTTAAGTTTGCAAGAAATCATTTGATTGGGACTCAACATGATAGCTCAAAAGTGACTACATCGACGTGACGGTTTTTGACTTTTATTTTAGGTCCCAGACAGTTCGTGTTTTCTTTTTGTTCACTTGTCCATCCAGTTGCTGGTTCTCTCATCATGTAAGTGTGAGGGTGCAGTAACGTTAATCTGTGGGTCATTACATGTATTTCTGTAGAATTTTCGTTAGTCGACTCTTAAACGTCGAGTATTAGTTCTAAAGAATTGAATAATGTTTTTAGTACTTAAAGCATTTAATTCAAATACTGGGTCACAAGTTCAAACGTCATTCTACCTATTTCAATTTAGGTAACCGGGTAATATTAGTCACTCTCACTCAAAGTGTAGCTAAAAACCGTGCTCGCAAGCCTATATTTGCTTAATGAGTTATGTTAACTAAATAATTCATTGATGAACTAACTAGTTGAAACGTTACTGGAGTACTACAGCTAAACTTGTTTGTTTGTTAGTATAATATTTTTTCTTTTAAAAAAGTATGAATTACGGATAGTCATTTGGTTGGGACTAAAGTTTTCCGTAGTCCGTTGTTTTTTGAAAGATACATCCAAGCAAATTAATTAATGTGAAGTGGTTCATTTTTGCTCATTCAAATGCGCTAAAAATCAATTTACCAAGAGTAGATGATGAGTACAAATGTTAATAGGTCCAAGAAAACGTGAACCAAACTGTCGTTAGTTAATAACGCTAATCTCTAACTGTTTACACCCGTAGTTTATACCATCTCTACTCTTTACACCAATGTACGCAAACCTTAAAAGTTTGTTGGTGCGAATATTTTTATACTATAGTGTGTTGGGGGAGCTATACTCGAGATGTTGGTTACAAAAGTTGACATTTTAATGAAGATTAGCAATTACATGGCCATTCATGAAATGTAAAAATTTCAGATTTACCTGTGTTAAAAGATCAGTACAAATGTTCTTTCCGTGGTTTGTCTATTGTGGTTAATAACTAATACGCAATACCTCATTACTTTGTGGTTATCTTTTCAGAATCTACCATATTGGAAATCATCTAAATACTATCTATGGACGAAATTTACAATTGCAAGCGGAGTTGTTGGCATTGGGATTGTAGGCTTAGCTGTGCCTGTATATGCATCAGACTTACAAGCCCATCCTGCAAAACTACCTTGGATACACAATGGGATAATATCTTCCTATGATCATGCTTCTATGCGTCGAGGTTATCAAGTATACAAAGAAGTGTGTAGTGCTTGTCACAGCTTGAAGTATATGAACTATCGACATTTAGTCAATGCAGTACTCACAGAAGATGAGGCTAAAGCGGATGCAGCTGAAGTAAGCTGAATGCGGATTTTGTTTTTTGGTTAATAAAAGTAGTTAGTGAATGTTGCTAACTCATTTCTGTATAGTCATAGTGTTTGAGTTGTTTTCCATCCCACTGAAACATTTTTCTCTTAACATTTTATAATATAATAATAACAATCTGTTGATCAGTGAAATGCACAGTACGACCTGGTGCATGTTTACGTTGGTCTAAGTTCCCATTCTCTATTAGCACAGCAAGAAATTCAGGCATCCCAGAATATTAGAGCTTTTTCATACACATAGTACCTTTTATCATCTTGCAGAGAGTAAGGACAAAGATTTGAGCAGAATAACATGAATTCATTTTATCTCGTTTGGTTCTCGTCAGCTGCTTACAACCTGTGGTATTTAAAATTCATAATTACAAAATTGGTTTAAATCACTTACATGAACGAGTTTAGTTAGAATTTACTTTGAAGGCAGTATAGTATAGCAAGGGTGTTGATAAATTTAATATATTAGGTAAAATATTGTAAATATATATAAAAGGATATTCTACAACACTGGATCTAACAAGAGTTCGAAGGGACAAATAATTAGTTACGTAATAAGTAGACTTTGGCCCGACCGTAGCTGCTACCTTGATGTGGTGGTCGGGCTTGCCTATCGTGATGACCCAACTGAGCTATATTGGCTGGAACACATGTTCCTGCAGGTTCTACTATGCCAGGCAGGTCGATTGGAGAACGGTAAGACTAAAAGCAGCAACTCAAGGTCTGAGGGCGAAGTCGTACTGCTGACTGTACAGAGGTGTGACAACAGTAAAGTGTTTCCCTCGGACAACCAGCATCTGCAGCGATGCTGCCTTCTCACAAGGAAGGAAGGGGTTAGAAAAGGTTGACCCTAAAAATGTCACACCTCACCTTACCCCACGGATTTCCGTCTCCGGCGGTAAGGCCGTTTGAAGAACGGAGCTAACACATTGAAAACTTCCCACAAAAAAGCCGTGCGCGACCGGCCTCAAGCAGTTGTCCCTTGGGTTCTGCGGTCACGCTCCCAGGTCGCTAAGACCAACACTAATCCGATTTCCTTTTCAGGTTCCTCAAGAAATACCCTTCCACGGTGTGGGCAACCGGGAAGTGACATCAGCCGTCATACCCGTAACAGCACACGAGACCAAGTTGGTCACATTCAAATCCTTCCTACACTTCCTAATAACTCTCTTATCTCCACGACCAACCCTTTCTGACGTCCCTTTATCACCTCGCCTCGCTAGTGCAAACGATTCGAGTACGCGGAACGTTATTCATGGTCTCCTGAAACCACGCTCTAAACTACACGTAGGAGCTTTCAACGTCCGAACACTGTGCCAAATAGGACAACACGCTTCCTTAGCTAAGACTTTAGAATCTCGCTCCATCGATGTGTGCTGCGTCTCCAAAACGCGCACACAGGATCCTAGTAGTGTCATTCATTTGATGTCACCATATCAAAGTAACAAACCAACTCGATTTACGCTTCATGCATCTGGAAGCCCTGTTTCTGCTTCCCGTGGCCTCGCTGGCGTAGGTATAGCATTAAGTCCTAGGGCAGAACTAGCTCTCTTAGACTGGATCCCATTAGACAGTCATTTGTGCGCTGTCCGACTAAACGGTACAGTAAGGACTCGGAAAGATAGGGACACTCATCGTTGCCTCTTCGTCGTCTCCGCCTACGCTCCCACTGACTGCAGCTCAGATAATGTAAAAGATGAGTTTTACAGAAAGCTTTCTGACCTTCTCCGAAAAACTAGCCGTTCAGATGTAGTAATAGTGGCTGGTGACTTTAATGCTCAAATAGGTAAACTAAGCGAAAAGGAAAGACACCTGGGTGGATCTTATGGTGTCGCGGTTCAAAGAACAGATAACGGCGACCGTCTGTTGCAGCTATGCTCAGATAACCGCCTGTTTCTTGCAAACACTAACTTTAAGCATAAGGAAATACATCTTTTGACATGGCGACCCCCTTATTCGTCCCAACGTTGGACCCAAATAGGTCACATCGCTATCAGCCACCGATGGAGGGGCTCGATAGAAGACTGTCATTCATTCTGGTGCACATGCTTAGACTCAGATCATGCTCTAGTGCGAGCGCGTATTTGTCTGTGCCTTACTGGACGTAGGAAAGATGGTACAAGGAAACCCCTTAGGGTCCTACTTAATGATAGTCAAGCTAAGAGTATATTTCACGAACAGTTAGGCAGCCATGTAAGTGATGCCCACCCCGAGGCAGCCTGGAATGACATCTAAAAAAAGCTGTAGAAACAGCAGTGATGTCTGCAAGTACAGTAAACCATAAGGTTAGGGAGAAACAATGGATCTCAGCAGCGTCTACCGCACTGATAGATGCTCGAAAACTCATTCCATCTGGCTCTGAACATAACGAAGAGCGGAGTCAGCTTAAGCGTAAGCTGACTAAAAGCTTACGCAATGATCGTGAACAGTGGTGGGTAGCGAAAGCAAGAGAGATGGAAAAGGCAGCGGCAATAGGTAACAGCAGGCAACTGTTCAGACTTGTCAAGGAAACCGGTATTAGGAACCCAACTGTTAGCGAAACAATCTCCGAAAACGATGAACATATTATTCATTCTCAATCCAGGAGATTGGATCGATGGGCAGAACACTTTAGGGATCAGTTCAACTGGCCTTCAGCCACACTTCGGTTTCCCATGATCTCCAATCTACCTGAATGGCAAATTAATGTAAGTCCTCCGACTCTTTACGAAGTTGAAAAAGCTATATGAAATCTGAAGCGTGGGAGAGCAGCAGGCCCTGACAGGTTTACCCCTGAGATTTTTAAGGATGGAGGTCCAATATTAGCAGCGAGATTGACTGAGGTCTTAGGTAGAATCTGGGAACTGGACGTAATCTCATCTGACTGGTCTCAATCACTGATTGTGCCAGTCTATAAGAAAGGACAAAAGTCTTCTTGTGACAATCACAGAGGTATTAGTTTGACTAATATAGTGTCTGAAATATTAGCTTCAATAATACTTCGACGTCTAACCATAGCTCGTGAAGAGTAGACTAGAGAAAACCAGGCTAGTTTTCGACCTGGACCTGGTTGTATAGGTCAGATATTCACACTACGTCAGGTCCTAGAACATAAACACACATTCAGACGCCCCACAATAGTTGTATTTCTCGACCTTAAGGCGGCATTCGACTCTGTTGATCTTGAGGTTCTATGGCAGTGTTTGTCACTAAAGGGAGTACCAAAGAAGTACATCAACCTTATAAAGGCTCTCTACTCGAACACAACTGGTCGGGTGAGAGCTTATGACGAACTGTCATCGGAACTGATTGTCTCAAGTGGTGTTCGTCAGGGCTATCCACTATCTCAATTCTTGTTTAACTTTATCATTGACGTGCTTTTAGAGATAACTCTTTCCAAATCTGACTTTCCAGGGCTTGAACTTCTACCGGGAAATTCACTTATTGCCTTAGAATATGCCGATGACATAGTTCTATTCAGTGAGGAGGCTGACAAAATGCGGAGTCTGCTGACCACTCTAAGCAACAATGCAGGCATGTTCGGGATGCGACTCTCTCCCTCGAAATGCAAAATGTTGCTTCAGGATTGGGTTGCATCGACACCCGAACTAGTGGTAGGGAGTGAAGTAGTAGAGCGTGTCGACCGCTTCACTTATCTTGGAAGTCTCATCAGCCCTTGTGGTCTGGTGTGTGACGAAATCTCAGCACGGATACAAAAGGCTCGACTAGCTTTTGCAAACTTGCGTCATTTGTGGCGTAGGCGAGATATCCGTCTACCAACCAAAGGACGTGTTTACTGCGCAGCAGTTCGTTCCGTCCTACTTTATGGCAGTGAAACATGGCCAGTAAGAGTAGAGGATATTCGTAGGTTACTAGTATTTGATCATAGGTGTCTTCGAAACATTGCTCGTATATCCTGGGACCATTATTTATTTATTTATTTATTTGAACACATAAATATTGGTACAGGGGGGCACCAAATATATATGCTCCACACAAAACAATGATAATTTGAAGAGAAGGAGAAAAGAGAGAAAAAAAGTAATGAACGTGGGGAATTATAAAAAAAAGGGAGAGAGAGAGAACAATGGTGGGGGAAACGGAAAGGTACAATCAGAAGAGATCTTTCAGTTAAGGAAGATACAAACACTTTTTATGAAGAAAGTAAAAGAAGGTTACAGCAGGATCGCCACTGGCTTCTATTCTGAGCCATATCTGATGACGTCTCTAGCCACTGCGTTATACCGTCTCTCGGACCCCAACCAGGGAGTCGTGAAGGACCAACAGAAGCTAGCCCTTTGCAGCTTTCTTTCATACCACGACACCATGTCATATACTGACCACCTCTCCGCTTTTTCCAACCAGTCCCAGAGTCGGCAAATAATGCACGACGTGGAATTCTCTGGGACGACATTCGTAGAACATGTCCAAGCCACCGAAGTCGGTGTTTCAAGATGGTGACACCAATTTCATTATCGTCTCTGTGACCGAACACTCGATGTCGAACCTCTGCATTACTGACATGGTGTTGCCACTGGATGCCAGCAATCCTTCGGAGACAGCGATGATCGAACACAGAGAGTCGTCTAACATCCTCAACTCGGAGAGGCCAGGTTTCAAAAGCATAGAGCAAAACTGCTCTCACCGTCGCGTTGTAGATCCGACCTTTTACAGCCAGATTAACATCACGAAGGCGCCAAAGATGGCCGAGATTGGCATAAGCCGCTCTGGCTTTCACTATACGTGCATTGATCTCATCACTCACACCACCACCAGCATATATGCAGCTACCTAGATACACGAACTTCTCGACTACTTCTATCTGCTCACCGTCCAGAGTGAGTACAGGATTAGAATCCTGCCAGTCTTGTAGGAGTACTTTGCACTTCGAAGGTGCGAAGCACATACCATACCTACGGACATTGATTGCCAACTGATTAAGTGCGGATTGCATGGCTTGAACATTCTCGCACAGTAAGACAATATCATCCGCATACTCAAGGTCGAGAAGTCTTTCTCCAGGCAACAGATCCACACCACCATTACTTACATCCGTCAGAGCTGTTTCCAGAATGTCATCGATGGCAAAGTTGAAGAGGAATGGTGAGATTGGGCAACCCTTCCTAACCCCACTGCTCGAATGGAATAACGGAGAAAGGTGGTTGTATGCCCTCACTCTGCCTGAGGTGTTTGTGTATAGGGCTTTTAGGATGTTAATAAACTTCTCAGGCACACCCTTCTTCAATAGACAATCCCAGAGAACAGTTCTGTCCAACGAATCGAAGGCAGCCCTGATATCAAGAAACACTACGATTGTTGGCCTTTGATAAGTATGGCGGTGTTCTAACACTTGGCGGAGGGTGAAGATATGATCAATACATCCTCGACCAGAACGAAATCCAGCCTGCTCCTCGCGAGTCAATCCTTCTCGGGTTCTGAACAACCTACGAAGTATGACGGAAGCCAATAGCTTGGACGCAATCGGAAGTAGACTTATCCCCCGATAGTTGTTACAGGAACGACCACCGAATAAGTAATGCAGTTGTTAGGAAACGGGTACTAGGTGGATGGCAAATCAATTGATGAAGTAGTAAAACTTAATCAGTTGAGATGGCTGAGACATGTGTTGCGCATGCCCGACCACCGACTGCCCCGACGTGCTATGTTTTACGGTGTAGGAGTAGGTTGGAAGAAAGCTAGGGGCGGCCAGACAAAACATGGCACAAATCCATGAAGTCACTGACAAGTGGACTGAGCCGTGTTGGTAGGTGTAGACTACTTGGTTGGGGACCGCGAGATGATAGCAACCGATGGTTAGAGACCTTGAATGACATGGCTCAAAAATCGTTTGCAATGGCGCAGGTGCATCTACTCTCTGTGTGCTCTCAAAATTTAATCTTCTGTATTCTTCATGTCCTTTATTTTCTTTCCTAATCTATTCCACTGGACTATACTCCTTAAATAAAATCATCAAACCCTAATGTTCCCTATCACTACTTATACTTTCACTACCTCTACCACTACGGGATTTGAATCGATAACTGAATCTCTGTGCTAATGTGGTGTGGCAACTCGAACTGATGTACGTACGTACGAAGTTCCACGTTGTTACTGGCTAAAGTAGACTTTGGTAATAAGTAAGGGTAAAACGAGTAAAGTTAATAAAATAAGACTAATAATCTGGAATACAGAAGAAATAAAAAAACGTAGTGATGTAATTAACCAAGGCAAAGAAAGATTACCAACCATCTTCTTCTAAACACATAAATCAGGTTTATGACGCCCCCAAATGCGCTGTTATGGCCGAGGGTTAAAAATGTCCGATCTTCCTCTTGAAATGCCGTTCTATGGCCACGCATACACAGCCACTCCCAGGAAAGTCCTACTCACTGCCTTCTCACGGCTGGGGGTGTTTTAACGAAATCGAGAAGACAAAAAGTAGATATCTGGGGCTTTAGCTAGATTGGTGGGTGCAGAGGATTCAACTTGACTAGCTAGAAAACCCGAATTCCAAACCAATGATATACATGAGTTCCAGGATCCTGAGGGGACAAAGGACTTATGAACCCATTATTGATCACCGGCTACAATTAAACTGCATCTTCTCATATTATAAATCTAATGAAGTGTGGCGCATATATATTTGGTGCGTCCTTATACCAATGTTCATGTTTAAACAAATAAATATAACACCTGATAGCAATGGCTTCAGTAAACTTCAGAACACTGGAGTTTAACTGTTTATTGATCGCCTTGAAAAACTACGAGTTGTCAACCCGATGTTTTGTATCCAAGAGGTGTTTAGTAATTGTTTTGTTGAAAGCAGTTCTCTCTTGTTCGAAAGCTTTTTGGAATATGTTCAGAAAATAGTAGAGTTAGTAACAGTATTAATGGCAATAGAAAAGATTAAGTATGGAAGTGGAATTGAAGAAAATATAAGTTAGTAAAATAAGATGAACTTATGAGGAATCTAGAAACAATAATAATAACAATAAATCTAAGAAGTTTCTCTAAAAAATGGAGCTCGAAAATATATGTACATTTAAATCATAAATGCTATAATTTATATCCACCTCCCTCAAAAAGACAGTATAATATACTTCCACAGATCAACTTTCAACTGATGACCAGTGTCACTTGATGTTTACTCATTCAAATGTTAATTACATACTGAATCACTAAATTCGTGCGGTTTTCCAACTAAGAGCATCTAAGACCAAGAAGTAATAACCCCTACACTCTAAAATTTAACAAAAGGCTATTAAAAATAATACTCAAAAATTACACAGCAAGGTGGCCCGTTAGTTCTCTAGTGTTACAGGATGGAGATTTTATTTGGGTATTTGTGAACTACAAATTCTTCCCATTTCAATAATTATAGATAAAGACCGAGTAGGATAGTCTTTTTTTCGTGTCCCTACCCGACACGGATTAGCCCCACTGGTCACGACTACTCACTAGGACTCCGATAATTTCCTAACGAAGCAAGTCACTGGTGAGCACATGGTAATTGTCAGTATAGGGTTGTGGAAATTATTAAGTTATTGAGCGTTCGCGCGCAAGACTGAAGGTCCTGGGTTCGGATCCCGCGAGAGGGATCGTGGATGCGCACTACTGAGGAGTCCCACCATAAGACGAAACGGCCGTCCAGTTCTTCCAGGTTTTCACTGGTGGTCTAACACCAATCGGTTCATAATCTCCCAATCAATAACTTAATAATATCCACAACCTTATACTGATAAATAAGCAGGCTCATTCACTAGGTGCTTAGGTATAAGCTACACTCTATGTATGAGGAATAATGATACTACTTAGTTGCTAAAGTCGTATTATATGTAGCGGAGTTCGAACATGTGGCTTGGCTAAAAGTCGATTGCCGAAGCCACTTAGCCATTGGCTCCTTGTTTTAATGACTTCTCATTTAACTTTTATTACCGATCATCGATGCTTTCTTCGTGCTGCCTGCTTTCTCAATCTACATCTGGTCGAAATTTGTGCAACTGCATTTGATATATTTAAACCGTAGCTTAAGTTTGTTGCGTAACTAATCCTCCGGATGTAAATATTTCCTGTCTCTCAGTCAAGCACAACGTAGAATCTGGTATATGTGTACATCAGTCCAAGTTCCCATTCCCTATCGGCACAGCAAGATGATATTGTTAGGACAAATCCCAGAATAGTACAGGTAGTAACTGTACTAGTAGTAATAGAAAAGATTAGGCATCGAAATACGGTTTAAAAACAAATTTATGAGGAATTTTGAAACTTAGGGTCTAAGGAACGATATCGAGTGAATGCACCTGCGTTGTTGCAAACGATTTTGAGCCATATCATTCAATGTCCCTAACCACTGATCATAAAAACCACCTAGTCTACACTTACCTACATGACTCAGTCCAGTTGTCAATGTATTCATATGCTGTTGCCACGTCTTGGTTTGTCCGCCCTTCAAACCTACATCCCTACACTAGACAACATCACTTAAAAATAGTTTCGAAATAATAATTTCTATCGAGAAAACTATATTTATTCTCACATTATTTGCTTAAAGTGCTAGTGCATTTGTGTTATCAATCAGTCACTGATTTACTAGTGTTCCTTAACATTTTTAATAACTACCAATAATGTTTTATACATAAGTATATCATCAATCTACAGAGGCCCGTTGTTATAATACATCTGTCAATTGATGGATACTGAGTTTGTGTTGAGGACCAATGATTCAGACGTTCTAGGATATATATATATATATATATATATATATATATATATATATATATATATATATATATATATATGCTTTTGGTGTCGATTTTCCTGAAAGTTAATGTCCATAGTTTTGGTTTAGAAGATGTCACTGCCATGAAAAATGCAAACTTTCGTATTGTTATTTACAGACTGTATGTTTGAACCGTCGAATTAGGGTTATTGTGGTTAGACTCAGGATACTAGTAAGGTTGTCTCTGGGATATATGTCATATATGCCCGACCGCCGCCTACCTCTACTTGCAATGTCGAGTGGCATATGAGTAGGCTAGAAGAAAACTAGGAGTGGTCAAACCAGAACTTGACTTTAGTTCATGAAGTTATTGACCATTGATTTGAACCATGTTAATAAGTAGCGACTGCATGGTTAAAGTTCTCTCGATTATCTTAAGCAATGGCTCTAAACATTGGGGAACATGTCTCAAAATCGTCCCAGATGCAATCGCTCACCGTATTTTCTTACGTAATGTGTTCTAAAATTATTTTATTCCCTTCCTTCCCCAAATCAGCTTATCTAAAATAATGTTCTGTATGTCTAACATTCTCTACCAACACTAATACTACTACCAATATTAATTCTAATACTTTATTGTTTATCTTAATAACTTCATCTCTCTGTGTTGATGTATTGTGAAAACTTGATGCCAGATTCTGCATTAAAAAATAACCTAATTATTTCAATTATTGTTTTTGTGATAATATCAAGCTGAACATTCTTGTCCTAGCATCATTATTTATAAATTTAAGGACTGAAAATTATCACTTATTAGTTAATTTATTTCTATTATTAGAATGACTGATCATTTGATGATTTACTATAATTGTAACAAAAATAGTTATTCAGTTATCCGTTAGATTTTTCATATTAATTGTTGTTGAGATGTCAAATATTTCAATAACTAACCGTATATATATCTGTATTGTTTATATACCATCATGTTAGCATTAATGAATTATACAGATATAAGATTTAAATGGAAGAAAACAATAACATAAGATTTATTATTTATCTGTCATAATTCCATTGTAGCATATGTATCCTGATGGACCGGATGATAACGGGAATATGTTTGAACGACCAGGTCGGTTAACTGATGTACTTCCATCTCCTTATCCGAATAAAGAAGCAGCGCGTGCTGCTAATAACGGTGCAGAACCACCGGATCTGACATATATTGTTAAAGCTCGGGAGGGTAATGAGAATTATATATTCCATCTCCTTACAGGTACATAAATTTTATTAAGTAACTGTTGTAAACTTATCATGCTTAATGCTTTATTTATTAGAAAACTTTTTTAGTTAAGGTTAGTGTTTCAAATAATTTAGTTTAAGAAATAGAACGTGTTAGAAAGAGGCCCTCTTTAATATGATCAAGGTAAATTTTTTGGAAAAGTGTTTGTTTCTCCATTAATTCTGTATTGATGTCGCGAACTGACTACAGTTATATAACCGTTGAGTATAAAGAAGCAGTAGATAACTATTTTGTCTTAGTGTGAGACTCCTCGCCAGTGTGCATCCTCAAATCCAATGAAGGTTAAACCCAGGACATCTAGGTCTCGCGGCGGACACCTCACCTTTGGACTACTGATACGTCACCCATTGATCTACGTATCCAAATTCAACCAGCGGGCAGTATCACGCAACCGTCTTGCACTGTCTTTTCTGGGTAACTGTCTCAGAACCAAAACGATTGAACTCTATTGGTTACGGCTTCTTACTAGAATTTCAGGAATATCCTCGGTGTTATTTACTAGTGAGCTCAACAGAAATATAACTTTTACCCTTAGATCTTTACATTTCACTTATCTGCGTAACATCACAAGACAGTCTGTTCTGTAACTAAAAAAGAATCAATATTTAGGGGAAACACTACTATTTATGTACATCTTTGAGCAAATAGTTTGCTCTATTAAGTAGAGAATAGATTTCCCGGTAAGGTTTTTTCGATCACATAGGAATATGAATAAAAATTCGGAGTAGACAACTTTCTACCTCTGTGCAATCACCTGCAATGTTGATTTCTACTTCAACTGCTTCCTATCACAATCAACCAACTTCAATTTTTGGATACGTAAAGCATAAAATGCATTCATATATATCGTAAGAGACAGATTTAGAAGTCCTAAGTTGATCGACAATATTTTCAACGGCATGAAATGTATGAAGGAAAAAGAACTAAACGACAAAATTTGTTTCTTCGGTGATTTTCTGAAAAGCGAAACATAACTGGGCAAACAGATAAGCTAAAAAAAATGAAAAACAACAATTTACAACTATCATAACTCAACAACATATAAATTGGTTATGTTTGCACACTGTTCATAAAACCAGAGGCTTTCTGCGGGATTCATAATTGACGAAAATTCTAAGCAGTTCATTTTTTTTTTTTCTATGTCAACAGAATAGCTATTCTTGCAACTTCAATCCATGTTTAACAAGACAATCTATCATCCGGAAATCATCCTCTCAGAAAGATTTTTTAGAAATCATTATAAAGATTTAGAGACCATTTGAAATTGGTGTGTTGCTTAATAGCTATTACATTATTATTTCATTCCATTTCATCCCCAGTTGTATGCGGATCAATAAACACAATAACGGAATGACAAGTATGTCAACATCTGTAACAACTACGAAAGGCAATAACTTAACAAAACATAAATATCCTTCCTACTAACGTGCTACTATTAACGTTGTTTGATAATTAGGGAACACAATATGTTGTCACTGATTGTAGTAGTTGTAAAATAATAGAAGAGATATAGATGCAATTTATAAAGTACCGAAATTCTTAACTGATGTAATTTTAAAAATCAAAGTTTTACAAACGTCTGACATCCGGATTAGTTTATAATTTTGATATACACATTCATTTAATCAAAATAGTATGCAATTATTCCAGTCATGTACGGTTTTGAGATCAGTGTTTATGTACATTGTTGAAATCAACCAATCACAAATAAATTCATTAGAACAAGCTAACATGAGTATAAGACTTGTGGCATTGATAATGTCGAGCATGAAGTTATAAATGTTACATAGTTAAACCATCCAACTAGAAGAATTCAACACTACTTAAAGTTGACGAATTTACAGCATTTCTCATTTTAGTTACAGTGTGTTTGTGTTTTGTTCGCATATGCTGAGACCATTGGATGAAGGATGTTGAGGTTAAACTTAAGTTACTAGGTAAGGATAGTAAGTCGGTTTGAGGTTATTAATCTCCATTTATTGACATGGTTTGAATATATGTTACATAGAGTGAATCGCCTCCAATTTTCAATTGGAAGGCATCCATTCAAAGGGGTGAGGATCGAGAAGGGGAAATAAGATTTTCAAGAGTAAAATGTGGTAGGTTTACCATTTACTACCTACTACATTTCAAACTTAAAAATTTTGTTTCCTTTTCCGAAACTCACCCTTATTAACATATGGCTTTTTTAATGGTCGTCTTTATTAATGTGTACATATTTCAATCGCTCCCTTATTATTGTGGAAACCTTCCTGCAATGCTGTCTGTTGTGACAGTAGACTCCAAGAAGGCTAAGTCTGTCTAAGCAAAAATATGACATTTTTCCATGAAGTCATTGATTTGGTTTGGGCCATGTTATCATTTAAAAACTAACGGATTGGGATTCTCGTGATTATCATAAACAATGGTTAGAGACATTATATGATGTAGCTCAGAATCAGTCCGAAAGGCACATATGCAACCACTCTTTGTTTTTCCTTAAACCTTGAGTTTTAAAATTATCTCACACGTTTTATTCCGCAAATCCATTCTTTTGAAGCTATGTTGTCTATATTCAATGTTTTTTAGTACCACTGATACTGTCAATACTCCTACTTTGGAATTTGTCTTAATAATCTGGTGTGACAGCTTTAATCGATCTGCCTGTATGCTACATTCTACATCGCTTCTGACTAACTGTGTTTGTGAATATGCATTCATATTTTTACGTTTACAGGTTATATGGATCCTCCACCAGGTCGTACAGTTTCAGATGGACAATATTATAATCCTTATTTCCCTGGTGGTGGTATAGGTATGGCAAGAGTATTGTATGATGATTTAATTGAATATGCTGATGGAACACCTGCTACAACTAGTCAAATGGCAAAAGATGTAGTAACATTTCTTAGTTGGACTTCTGATCGATCTCATGATGAACGTAAACGTATTTTACTTAAGGTAATGAGGGGTAGTTTTAATTTTATCATATTAATGTTTCATTGGAGCTATAATGGGAGTTTATTTAGTTCCATATAATTTAATTATGTTTTATTGTTTTATGGAATTTTCTTGAAATGTCTTTTTAAAAAATAGATCTTAAAAAATGCATCTACATTTATCTACATAGTTTGATGTTATAATGATGGAATGTTTCATTTAAGGAGACTTGATATACCATCATTTATACTCTTGAGTTAAAGTTTCATACTTTCAAGCCTTGAAAACAGCCAAATAATCATTGTCTTGTATTAATTTATCGAGAGATGGCTCAATGGTTTCGTCGTTAGATTTTCAGCCATTAAGTTATTGGTTCGAACTCCGCTCCACCAAATTCTGTTTAGATAACCAAGTGGTTTCACCAAGACATGATTAAAATAGGACTAAAAATGAAGTACCTAGATTTGTACCCAGTTAATGAGTTAATAAAAATGAATTTTATTCAAAGATAAGATTGAGGGAAAAAGGTATAATCGTTTTCCTATAAATTAGACATTTCTAGGAGATCTATTCGGCGTCTTTATATGCTGTCAACGTTGTCCCAGAATATATATATATATATATATATATATATCGCTGACAACCCAGTAAGACCACTTGATCAATCAACCTAAGAATGTAATGGCGAAAAAAGCAAAACACGAAATAAATTATTCCAAATAATATGTCAAACAGACTGAGTGCCTTCTTCTTCTGTATTAAATTAATTAAGTTCCAACCATCACAACAAACCCTCATTTGTATTAGCTCACAGTGATTTTTTGTGGATTCGCATTCTACTTGAAATATATTGAAATCTTGAACAAATTTACTACAAAGAAGACCAGAGAAATTCGGGACTCCGATCATTCACCAATCAATAAATTCAATTTATTAACCAATTAAAAAAACCATCAACAGTCATAAGATCTATGGGGATGACAATCAAAATAACTACAGAATAAGTGTTAATAACGATCAATCGAAGTCGAAATCGGTAGATAAACCTGTTAGTTATATGTGGAGAAATTCAAATAACTCACTTCCATTTGAGATTTGTGGTGGTAATAATTTTGCCCTAGAAAGGTAGTGAAGGATCCACGACTAAAACCATTCATCTTAAAGAATGCAACTTCACAAAAGCTACAATTACGTTTAATATATAAACTAGGAGGAAGTGAATAGATATAATAAAGTCTTTCTTTGTAAGACATTTGAAAAGTGTAGCCCCAATTCGTATAGTCATTGGTTATTAATCTGACCTGTTAAAAACAAAATAACTCAAATTTAGATATCAATAATAAAATTGTATTCATTTTTTATCATCGTTTAAATCTTGAGTTCTATTGTAATCCTAAAATTTATATCAATTGATTTCGTTCGTTGCTTTGAAATTATAAATTATTGTTGTCTTTTTATTGCTACAACCTATCTTCTTTTAATACTAACATCTTCGCAATTTCTTTTCTCACTTCATGTTGTTTCTAGTTCGAATTATAACATATTAAGCTGATACATAGTAGTTATATCCACGTTATGTGGGGCGGCCAAACCAAAACGTGGCATCAGTGCTTGAAGTCACTAACTTATAGTCTGAGCCATGTTGGTAAATGCAGACTGTTTGGTTGGGGTCGGCGTGACTTTCGTAATCAATGATGACATGGCTCAGAATCGATCACAATGGCGTAGGTGTATACACTCTCTGTCCTCCCTTAAACTATGAGATTAAAATTACTTCATATCTTTCTTTCTATGTACTAATTCTTTCTTCCTGTACTGTATCTTTATATGCAATCTTTCTTTTATATATAACCACCAGTGAATTAACTACTTTTATGAATCCGGTGTTCATCTTACTGTGCTAATGTGGTATGGCAACTTGGACCGATGCATATATATGCCTGGTCCTACGTTGTAGCTGACTGACGGACCACGTTATGTATTATTTTTGACTTAGTAATTACCTAAAAGGCTTAAAGTTTATAAGTCCATGAAAACTTGCAAAGAAAATTAATTAAGCTAAAGACAATAAATTGTTGTCAATATTAACCACTTGTTCTAATTACTCTTTATCCCAATCGAATACCTCTTTGTTTCTTTAAAAAAGAACGACATGAAATATATTATGTGCTACATTTAAACTGTTGAAATTGGTTATTTTTTTTTCTAATTTTCAGGCAATTGTAATTACAAGTACATTATTAGTAATAATGGGTATATACAAACGAAAACATTGGTCAGATATAAAAACTAGAAAGGTTATTTACAAAAATCGACCAGTGCCGAAGGATGTTTAGTTAACCTTTTTCAGTTGTCTTCAATAGAATCAATATCATGTTCTCTCTCTATGTGTGCGTATGTTTCCTTCACTTTCTACTGTTTGATACTTCATCTGTCTACCCTAACAAAGGTGGGGAAATTGAACTTTTAGAATGAGCATGTATTGATTATTAGGAGTATATATACACTTATTTATTCACTTACTAATTAGTTCTATAAGTTGTTCGTACAATACTGGTCAGGCCTATGCGTTTTACTGGTTCGACATTTGATAAGATTTTTTAAAATGTAGCTTTTTTTGCAGAAATTATTTGTTTTCATATTAAATGAAAAATTAGTGGGTAATGTTATGAAAGCTGGACATATATGTTTTCACTGTTTTGCATTGTAAAATCACGATATTTATTTATCACCTGTGACTGAACATTATCTTCTAGTCGCAACTTACGATTACTCATATACCTTTACAACGACCAACAGTGTAGGTATTTTGTTATTTTCACAGTTGGTATTATGTGATTTACTGAATGTCAAGTATATCTTAGGCTAGCCGAACAATGTGTAGAGACAGGCCTGAAGTACTGAGTATTTCTGCTACTCTCCATTGTTCCGATCGTTATTTCTGCCTTGACGTGGTGGTCGGGCTTGTCTATCTTGATGAAGCAACCGAGCTACACTGGCTGGAACAGCCGTTCCTCAAGGTCCTACCATTCCAGACAGGTCGGTTAAAGAGGGATAAGACTAAAAGCAACAAACACAAAGTCCAAAGGCGAAGTCGTACTGCTGAATGTACAGAGGTGTGACACCAGTAAGGTGTTTCCTTCAGACAACCAGCATAACAGCGACGCTGCCTTCCCACAAGGAGGGGTGGGGTTAGAAAATGTCGATCCTAAAAATGCGCACCTCTCCTTTTCCCACGGATATCCGTCTCCGGCGACAAGGTCTCAATCAGTATAGAGCTGACGCAAAAATTACTCATAATGAGGTGTGTGACCGACGTCAGGCAGTTGTCCCTTGGGCACTGCGGTCATGCTCTCAGGTCATCAAGTCCACTTCTAATCCAATTTTCTCTTCAGGTACCTCCATCAGAACCCTTCAACGGTGTGGGCAACCGGAAAGTGATAACAGTCGTCATACCTCTAACAGCACTCAAGACCGCTATATTCATGGTCAACTTCCCTCTTCAATTCCTATTGTTCCTCCTACATCGACTTTCTACACTAAACTTCCTCTTTTAGCTTCCTTCTCAAGTTTCTCCACAGCCAACGATTCTAGTGCTCAAAACATTGTCCCAGGTCTACTGAAACCTCGCTCCAAACTACACATTGGAGCCTTCAACGTACGCACACTATGCCGAATCGGTCAACAAGCTTCCTTGGCTAAAAGCTTAGAATCTCGTACCATTGATGTATGCTGTGTCTCCGAAACACGCATACAGGATCCTAGTGTGGTGATTCACTTGACCTCACCTCGGCAAAACAGAGCCGACGAGATACACCCTCCGTGTATATGGCGACCTGACGGCTAGTTCTCGTGAACTTGCAGGTGTAGGCATAGCACTAAGCATGAGGGTAGAACGAGCGCTATTAGAGTGGATCCCCGTTAACAGTCGTCTATGCGCTGTTCGGCTAAACGGCTCCGTAAGAACTCGGAAGGATAGGGACACAGGTCGTTGCCTTTTCGTCGTTTCTGCCTACGCTCCCACTGACTGCAATTCGGATGAAGTGAAAGATGAATTTTACAGAAAGCTGTCTGAACTTCTTCAGAAAGCTAAACGTTCCGACATAGTATTCGTAGGAGGTGACTTTAATCCTAGGTAGGTAGCTTAAACGAAACAGAAAGACATTTAGGTGGGTATTTTAGTATTCCGGCACAGCGAACAGATAATGGTGATCGTCTGCTGCAACTTTGCTCAGACAATCGTTTATTTTTAGCAAACACAAATTTTAAGCATAAGGAGAGACATCGTCTAACATGGCGACCCCCTGCACCAAACCAACGATGGACTCAAATAGACCATATTGCCATCAGTCATCGTTGGAAAGGGTCAATATAAGATTGTCACTCATTCTGGAGTACCTGCCTTGACTCTGACCATGTCCTAATACGAGCACGCATATGCTTGTGCCTCACTGGACGCGGAAAAGTCACACTACAAAGACTCATTAGAACTGAACTGAGTAACGAGAAAACCAAAAGTTGGTTCCAAGAACAACTGGGGGTGCACTTAGGTGGTTCTGAAAACGAGGCTGACCCAGACGTTCCTTGGAAAGATATACAATCAGCTGTGGAAACAGCAGTGACATCTGTTAGTGATTTAAGCCACAGGGTTACAAAGAACCAATGGATTTCTTCAAGGTCTATTGCACTGATGGGTTCTCGCAAACTCATCTCATCAGTTTCTGAACACGATGAAGAGCATAAAGAAATCAGATCTAGGTTAAGCCAAAGTCTAATGAACGACCGTGAGCAGTGGTGGGCAACGAAAGCAAAAGAGATGGAAAAGGTGGCGGCTATAGGGAACACGAGATAACTCTACAGACTAATAAAAGAAATTGAAATAAATCAAGCGTAAGTCGGACGACACTCATTTGTTTCCAGTCCAGACGTTTAGAACGATGGGTGGAACATTTAAGAGAACTGTTCAGCTGGCCTTCAGCTACTCTATAACTAGCCTTAATTCCCAGACTGTGAAATAAACATTCAAGTAGGCGTCCAACTCTTGAGGAAGTTCAAAAGGCTATAGTTAATCTGAAACGACGAAGGGCAGATGGATTGATTCCGGAGGTCTTTAAGGATGGTGGTCTAGTTTTAGCGATTAGGTTGACCAATATTCTAGCTAAAATCTGGGAGTTAGACGTTATCCCATCTAACTGGTCACAATCACTTATCGTCCCAATGTCTAATAAAAGGGTCAAAATCATCCTGTGACAACCATAGAGTGGTTAGTTTGACTAATATAGTACCTAGATTAGTAGCCTCGATAATTATCGGACGCCAAACTAAGACTCGTGAACTGCAAACACGTGAAAATCAGGCTGGCTTCAGACCTGGTTGTGGATACACAGACCCCATATTTACTTCGTCATAGACCTACTGATGGAAATAACATTCTCGTCGACTGAATTCGCGGGTATTGATCTATCAGGTGGTCCACTTATCGACTTAGAATACGCAGATGACATAGTCCTGTTTGGTGAAGATGCTGATAAAATGCAGAGTCTTCTGGTGGCACTTATCAACAATACCAGAATGTTTGGAAAGCGCTTCTCTAGATGCAATTTGCTGCTTCAGGACTGGCCTGAGTTAACACGTGAACTAAGGATAAGGAGTGGAGTAGTCGATTGTGTCGACATCTTCACTCATCTTGAAAGTCTGATCAGCCCTAATGGGTTGGTGTCTGACGAAATCTCAGCACGGATTCTAAAAGTTGGTTTGGCTTTTGCCAACCAACGTCTCCTATGGCGAAGGCGAGATATCCGTCTATCAATAAAAGGACGAGTATATTGCTCGGAAGTTTGTTCTGTTTTACTTTACGGCGGCGAAACATGGCCATCAAGAGTAAATGATGCTCTCAATTTACTAGTATTTGACCACAGGTGCCTTAGAAATATTGCTCGCATCTGCTGGGTCACCGGGTAGGTAATAGTGAGGTTAGACAGACCCAGGGTATTAAGGGATGGTGGTAAATCAGTTGATAACGTTATGAGACTTCATCGACTGAGATGGTTGAGCCACGTGTTGGTTGGGGTTGGCGTGACTTTCGTAATCAATGATGACATGGCTCAGAATCGATCACAAAGGCGTAGGTGTATACACTCTCTGTCCTCCCTTAAACTATGAGATTAAAATTACTTCATATCTTTCTTTCTATGTACTAATTCTTTCTTCCTGTACTGTATCTTTATATGCAATCTTTCTTTTATATATAACCACCGGTGAATTAACTACTTTTATGAATCCGGTGTTCATCTTGCTGTGCTAATGTGGTATGGCAACTTGGACCGATGCATATATGTGCTTGGTCCTACGTTGTAGATGACTTACTGACTTTAAATTTGTGATTAGGCGTCGTCTGCAGTGTGCTGTGCGTTATGTTAGGCGTCCTCACGTTAGATCGCTGTATATTGGGTAGATTAGTTGTCCTTGTTGAAGTGAAATGTAACTAACGCAGATTAATCAACAAGATGACGAGTATGTCAATTATTCAGCTGTCACTCTCTATTTATAATTTGTAACTTGTAAATTCTATTGCTCTAGCAAGATTCTGCTTGATTCTTACGAGCATCGAGGTACTCTGTTCACCTGATTATTACTATGGGGTAAGCCAGCTTAACGTAAACCGCGAAGTAGGACAGCGACATACGCTGGAGGGTCACACCAATTCAATCCGAGTTGTCTTACGTTCTGCGCAGTTCGTCCAATATGTTGGTAAATTTACTAGATCCGAGCAACTTTGCCATTGTGGTTATTGTGGATAATTGTGAGCGGTTTTCGAGCTTAGGACAGTGGAATATCATATACAGTTCACTCATGGAGTTTTTGACTTTGTATACAAGCTCGAATTTCTACCGAAGATCTGTGTACTCCTAAATTTCAGGCCTACCAGTGTAATAGCATAGAAAAAGTATTTTATAAATCTGTTTTATGAAATTGGCGACGGGTAGTTTTTGTTGAACCAACTCATCTCTTTATATTTTGTAATTGAATACTAGATCCATTTGGGCGAACTCGAATGAAAACCGTGCAATGTATTTAATATGAATAACAGATATAACACAACACTGAAGATTGATCACGCCTACAAGTCTGAGCCGTATCATCCGATGAATTTGAATTTCGAATGAACTTATTTACTCTTCCCGCCTTCTTCATCGTTGAGTCTTCCTCCGCGTCAAATGTTGAATATCTATTCCCACAGTTGTCTCGTATTCAGCTTTGGGGATTGTGTGGTTAGGGCCCAATGCCATTACACTACTCTCTCACTAGAATCAACGTGACGTTAGTTCGATACGTA